AAAACCGCTAACCCGGTTAACTATAGTTTGTTGTGGTTTGCCGTTTTGGCGAGAAATGTTGTTAACCCGGTTTGGCAGAGTTTGCCTAACCATCAAACCGGACTTGTGGGTTGGTTTGGATATTAAGTTAATATTTCTATCTTTGTTTATTTATTTTCTGTTTCGTACCATCGTACCTAGTCACTACTTCGTTTTTTTAGAGGTTTGGATAGGTATAAGTTGTAAATAAAAAAAATTGATAATGGATTAACTTTGCAAAAAATACAAAGTAAATATTTAAAATTGATAATAAAAAAATAGTAATCGAGGATCCAAATAACTTTAATCGTAGATATGCATATTCTATATTGTACTGTATAGATCTTTATTAACTTCCTTTTTGACGATACATTTACGTGGGAATAGATATTTGTGAAAAGGTAAACCCATTTTGATTTAATAACCATCTATACATTAACGTTATTTCATGGATGTGCATTTCAGATTAGGAATAACAATTATAGTATATAAGAAATAATCAAACAACTTGAGCTACGAGCACTATCATAGATTATAGGTTACGATTTTATTATTGATTAGATATCCAAACCAAAAGAATTTTTGCGAGTTCTGTCAAATGTTAACTCAAACTCTTAACACAATCAAACTCGAGCTAACCGGGTTTGATGTGGTTTGGCTCGCCAAAAAACCCTTTTATGTTTATTTTTTTTTGGTTTTCATGAATATTTTGTTTAATTATCATTTATCAATGATTAAAGTCGCTAAAGTGATTTGGCATTTCTAAGATTTCCAAATAGGTACTTAAACATATCAGATACCACTTTACATACGTCGTTCAATTTGTATTGCTTTGAATTGCCTTTCAAATATTTTTTGCAAATACTGCTGATTAATTCTTAAAAATGTCTGTTATTGTAGTAGAAAATAAAGATGAAGTTATAACGAGGTTGTGTAAATTAATTGAAACTACAGCAGTACATAGTATTGAAGAAAATGGAACTTTTAATATTGGTGTATCAGGTATGAAGCAAGATGTTTAATTCCTCATTTTCTTTATTTCAAATTATTGCAATTCAACTGAATATTAATTTTAGGGGGATCTTTAGCTCCATTTTTGACTACTGGTTTGCCTAATATCAAAACAGATTTTAGCAATTGGAGAATATTTTTTTGTGATGAAAGATTGGTTCCTGTAGATAGCCCCGATTCAACATTTGGTCTTTATAAGTCTAAATTAATTGATTCTAAGGTTGTTCCATTAAAAGAAGAACAGTTTATAACAATAAAACAAGGCGTTCAAGGTACGTAAGTAAATTAAGAGACAATTTTGAGACGGTACCTATCTGCCAAAATAATTATACAATAATTTAAAAAAAAAATTATTACATGATTAAAGTTAATTATGTTAGGTAGAAATTTTTTTTTGATTGATCCTAATGTATTAAAATACATTGTTGTCTACAAATTCAGTGAATTTTACCTTTATTTAGTAAATTCACCGGTCCAGGATTTATTAATTTACGTTATACATCTTTAGAAATATTTGTTTTTGATATTTTTCAAAAAATTTAACACCATGGATCTTGAAAATTAAGCTAATTAGGAAATACATACATAGGAATTTTGCTTCAGAATTGAATAACAATTTCTTTTTTCCAACTATTTCCGAGTCACTATACAAACTGTGGTCCAATTTCTAACTTGAGTTCAGCTGTTGAGTTTCACAGGAATGTCAACTTCACAGGTCATTTAGGAGTCAAGAAACCCATTTAAAAAAAAGTTTTAAACAAAAATTTTACATTTTTCGGTGTAGAATCGAAATCTGCAATAAAAAATATACTAATTTATTTGAAAAAACTGACTAGTTCTGAATAGGCTACTTCCAGTCAGAACTGCTAGTTGAAAACGTCTCAAATCGATCGTGCAAGGTCCGTTTACTACCAGGTACCCAAAACTATATATGTAATTTTACAAAAAAGAATTATTGCTATATTTTTACTATGCAGCACAAGGAGTAAAAAATTCAACATTCGGGAGCCGTGGATGAAACCTACATCCCTAAAAAAAATGTACTTAACAAATACCATCTTCTATATGATATCAAAAGATATTTTTTATTTCTACTCGAAATTCGTAATATTTTCAAGGCCAATGCTGCTGCAGTGTTGTGACATATCGGTTAATAACATATCTTTAAATATGTAGGTAAATACAAAAGTCTTATTAAGTAAAATGTATATATAAATATTTGTTTTAGCTGAAGAGGCAGCTGTAGATTATGCTCAGAAGATGCAAAAATATTTTCCAAATAGTATCTTACCTAGATTTGACATGCTACTTTTGGGTATGGGTCCTGATGGCCATACTTGTTCTCTTTTCCCAGGACATAGTCTTTTAAATGAAACAAGTAAATGGGTAGCGTTTTTAACAGATTCTCCAAAACCTCCACCAAGTAGAATTACATTAACATTCCCGGTAATTAATAATGCAAAAATGTGTGTTTTTGCTATTAGCGGAAAGGAGAAGGCTGATATGGTTAAGGTAAAAATTAACTATTTTTTAATTAATGAACCAAATTGTATTTTCTGTTATACAAAGCCTTCATAAATGATTACAAGTTACAAGCCACGTGACCGGCAATTTTGTTTGGAACAGTAATTTTATTTCTTTAATGTTGGTGATTAAATTTCGGTAAAATTAAAAATTATTCCAATAAGATCAAGATTACATTAGTACACAACATTCTGTTTCAACGGCTGTGATTGGTGTAATTTTTCTAAGAGATTTTATTCAACCAATCAGCAATCGCATTATCTCGAACGTAGACTTAATGATTTGTCATTGTTCATTGTAAATGAATAATTAATATTGGTGACACTGAGATTTAGGAATTTTTAGTTGACAGTACCTGGACTACTGAATAGTCATAGAATACAAATTAAAAATGAGGGAAAAGTAAAATTATTATTTTGAGATAACATAGGCAGTTATAAAAATACTTATACAATTTACTTCATAAAAAGCTGCGAAGCTTTTTAAAAATTCCTTTTCATAAATGCCCATTTTCTTTTTATTATAAACCAATCACTATATATATTTACGCTTGTTAGATGTGTTAGACATGCTTGACTATGATTTACAAAATAAAATTAAGTAAAAAAAAAGACCGCACACTTGTTTCTTGCAAATTATAACATAAATTTTGAAACTCTAACCCGGAATAAACTCATTTATTTGAACTATATAAAGTGTAGTTTTAATTGTTGAATTTAGCTACTCTCAGTTTAGAATAATCAGGCTGTATATAGGGTGTTTGTAATCTTGGAGAGGATATTTGAGTAGTAAATAAATCCATGTGCAAAAACTAGGTTGGCGGAAATATTCTATTGCTAATAGAATATTTACTTTTTTTGATACCTGCAGACTTACATTGATACGTTGAAAACCTTTTTGGAACTCTGTTTACAAATGATGGTACATGTATATTTGGAAACTTGTATACAAAAAATGTGCAGTTAACTTGCAGTTTTCATTAGTTTTATCTTCATACCATTAAGGGGAGAAACCACATTAGGAGGTCCAAAAAATCAGATTTTTTTTAATTGTATCAATTGTTAGTATAACTATTTAAGAATACGCTGCTAAAATTTCAAAACGAAATTCCGATTCATTCCAATTTTATGAGTTTAAAACCGAACACTCATCGGGTACACAGCAGGTGTGGCGGAGCGCTTGTTCAGGTCATTTGTTAAGCAAGAAAAGAACAGATGCAAGCTCAGAATGATGCCTGTGAGGAAGAAAAAGGACTATGCTGGAATGGCTGATTGATCGGTAAGCACTCTATATTATTGATAACTTTCTCAAATTTCTGGTTTTTGGAAATTTTCAAATGCGTTTTTCTAGAAACGACATTTTTTTTATTCACGGGAAGTCTAACTCAAAAAGTTATGAAAATTGAGTGTCTTTATGAAATTACAAAGAACATCAACCAACAATAGGGATATCATAATTTTAAGGGTGTTTTTTTTTATCTAAAATAAGTGAAAATCAATACATTTTTTTAAACACATGTCAAAACTTCAATTTTCACAATTTCTACCCACAATGGGTTTCATATTCTGAGAAAACATGTTAATAATGCAGGAAAGCAACCATTTTGCTTTCAGATCATAATTGCAGCCTCCACATTTCCCGTAAACAACCAACTCGGACAACGAGCTTCGGTGGACAACAGCCCCAAACATCGGAATTTTCAACACAAGTGACAAGTGATGTAGTTAAAAATATTAATAAAATAATGTTAAAAGTTTGATCAAATTCTAATCAATTTGTCCCACTCAAAAACACTTGAAAATTCGCCCCCTTATGTGGTTTCCCCCTTGAATTCATTGTTACTGTGTTAATGGGCCAATTTAGTATGTTTATTCACATGATTTCATTTTAATCATTTGTTCACTAATAATTTTTACAATAAATAATACACTTTTCGCTGAACACAGCCTTTATAGGTATTGTCTCTACTCTATTGATTGGATTTATCAATATTTCCTTTATTTTTTTTATTTAAAACTAAATGATATTTGTAAAATTAGCATTAAAAATGTAAAGAATAATTATAACCGCCAGAATTAGAGGATTTGATCCCGGGATCCCAACCGCTATACAGTCTGGAAATTTTTGGGATTTAGTTTTCCTGACCCCGAGATTTTTGGGACTGACATCATTTTAAAAGAGTTGCAAAATAGAGCGCGTGAAGTAGAACGCCCAGTGTCAGTGCTCTCAACAGAATTGCTTGCCTACCGTTTTAGTTCAAAATACAAGAAGTTTTATTCCAAGCAAGCAGCACAAATTAATCCAGTGGGCTTGCGATGGAATAAAACCTCTTGTATTTTGAACTAAAATGGTAGGCAAGTAATTCTCACAGGTACACGTAAATCTTCATTAGATTCCATTTTTAGAGTTTTTTATGTTTTTGTTTTAATTCGAATCTAACCTCAATATTTTCCAGTGACCTCACGTTTTTGAAATTTTCTAACCTAAAATGTGCACGAATTTCGGCTATACTAAGGTAGCTAAGGGGGTAGTTCTGGCCAAATACAGGGTTCTTGGGGTGTAAATCTAGAAGTTAATTTGTCATAGGCGTAAAGCTGTAGAGGTACAGGGTATTTTAATTGGTTTGGACCTTTAGGTTAACCTGTTGTGGAAATGATAATGTGGGGTTACAAGGTACTTCGGGTATAAATTTTGAGTTTGACTTGTCGTGGGTTTAGAAGATGCTGGTTACGACGCACTTAAGTTAACTTTTCAAAACTTCAGCGCCTGCCAGTTATAGTGTACAACGGTTTATAACCTTAGTAAAGCCTTTTTAGGTTAGGAAATCTCAAAAACGTGAGGTCATTGGAAAATATTGAGGTTAGATTCGAATTCAGCGACTCAAAAAACATAAAAATGTTATTCTGCACTCTGCTTCCTAAAAAATTTCTTAATTTGGTCATGGCCTAAGAGAGTAGCCGAAGTAGTAATTTTCAGTCATATAACCTTGAATATAGTAAAAAAGCCCGTTTTTTACACATTTAGGTTAGAATATCTGGGAAACCTAGGGTGACGGGTCAATTCCGAGGCCAGATTCGGATTCAGCACATCAAAAACATTCGGGCACGTATTGTCTGCTTTCTGGGTTTTTCCTTTTTTGAAACTTTGTCGGCCTGTTTAATTAAATGGGGAATGTTGGTTGGAGAAATAGTATATTTTATTCCCATCAAAAGTGTCTTTTTTCTCTCGCAATTTTGAATCCATTCGGCTAATAGGGTTGTTGACTATAAAAACAATCCATATATAAATTGTTGTTGATTCAAAGATTTTATATAAAAGAACCTGCCTGTGTAGTAAAATTTTAAATATGTGACAAATTAGTGGTAGACATCATTTATGAATTTTTGCGTTACTTAAAAATCAGTCTGACGTCATAAGGGGCAATTGAACAAGAAGCTAGTAGCGATCGTATTGCATAATTTTGAAGAAGAAAATATAGGCTTTTTTTCGCGAATGAATATTGGTGAATACGTCTGACTTGTAGTTACTGTTTCTATCTCTTTTTAATCTTATTTCTAACCTTGTCTAACCTGAACAGATCGCGAAAATGTATATATTCACTATTCAGTGGTGTGTAAAGAAGTGCATCGACCACTATCCGCTGCAGCGGCTCCAAACTCAAAACACAGAGGCCGTGGCGATAGCGGTGAGATCGCTACGGCATGGAGACGTTGCGGTGGTGTCCTGTTACCACCCACCCAGACTACCACTACTTGACAATGACTTAGACAAAATCCTTTCCTGGCCCCAGACAATTGCCATCGGGGACTTCAACGCGAAGTCCCCCATATGGCACAGCGGGACGACGACCACAAGAGGTCGCGTCCTGCTGAATTACCAAGACAGACACGACGACTTGACTATACTCGGACCGACAGAACCGACACATTACGGACCCGTAGGACGCCCCGACGTTATCGACATTGCCCTCTTAAAATCTATACCGTTAAATGCCCAAATATCCACNTTGTTACCTGGACTTTTATAAGTGGAAGTGGTAAAAGGGTTTATAATAAATCTAAAAAAAATAAATGCGTGAGCAGGGGCGGCGGAGGGTTGATTTGGCGGGTTGAAGTTATGAAAAATCTACAACTTTTGTAGAGGTCACTTTTAACATAACCTCAAAATTTCTGAGAAAAATGCGAAAAACGAATGAAAATGAATTCATCAAACTTTAAAAAAAATAAGTACACTAATCGATCCTACGGAAAAAAAAAATTATTTATTTTATTTATGTATTCACTATTCGACTTATGTTTATAGCAATACTGTATAAAAATAGTTTTGGGTCAAACAATGAGACAGTTTTTTTAAATTTTTTCTGTAGAGAATTAAATGGTGTAATCAGTTTTTGAATGTTTTTTAATTTAAACAAATTATCAACAATAACTGAAACATTCATTGTTGCAAGTCATTTTTTACTTTTTTGCATTTTTGAGCATGTTTTTGAGCTGTGATTACAAATTTTTTTATTTCACCAAAAAGTATATGTCAAAACGAAAAAAATGATTACCGGCAGAATTCTGTACGATGATTTTTTTTAAGTAGAAAGTTTGAAAAAAAAGTGTTTCAGGCCGAAAAAAATGAATATCTCCGAAACTTCTTGATTTTTTTATTTAAAAAAATTTGAGGTTATTTAAGATAGAGAAAGGTATCCTTTCACCATGTTTCGTCAAAATTAAATTATTTTTGCTGAAATGAGAAATAAAAAACTAAAAACCAGAAAATAACCTGTTTTTCGCATTTTTCTCGGAAATTTTGAGGTTATGTTAAGAAGTGACCTCTACAAAAGTTGTAGATTTTTGCATGATCTACAACTTTTGTATTGGATACTGTTTTGTTTGACGTGAACTTTCGCCAGAAATCCCAATGATACAATTTTTTATAACTTTTCAACCCCCAAAATCAACCCTCCGCCGCCCCTGCTCACGCATTTTTTTTTTCGTTTATCATAAGCCCCTTTACCATTTCCACTTATAAAGGTCCAGGTAACAATTTTCTTTTTTTTTTCCCTCTAAATGAGTTATTTTGATCGGTCTATTGTGTTTGTTTGTCTTATACGCAGAAATAAATAGAATAATTCCGCGGTGAACGCCTTCTAAAAAATCATTGCCTTCGTCGAGCGCGAACATCAACCTCATACCATACATAGAGGTTTTTCAAAATCTTATTAGCTTTGACCTTCATATGCGCAGAAACATAATTCTGACCGTCACCTAAATTATTCTACGTCCTAAAAACATTACATCTATTATTCACAGTCTATCTCGAGGTATCGTAACATACACAAGCCTTTGATCCGATTACAAATATCACAATAAAATGCCCTATTCTTTATTATTTTAATTTAAGCAATAAAAATATATATAACGAACGTTCGCCAGTTGACTTTATTGATGCCCGAGCGCCTTAGTTCATTTCTGGTTGTAATGAAGCACGTGGTCCAATTCTGAGTCAATGTTTTCACAACGTGCTTATTAGAAGAATTAGGCGGATATGCCACGCCTTTCGCGGCTCATCAGATTTTGAAACTACTCTACACGTATACGCAAGTGACTCATAAGTCATATTGAAATTGGAATGTAGTTCTGCTTCCACAGACCACTGCTTCTCTCCCACATACTTAGATAGAAGTATGTGTTCTCTCCATACGACGGTTGTCATGGCAACGAGGCAGCCAACGCATGTGTAAACTACGGCATGGAAGAGGAGAACGAATAGGAAACGAGTGATGCAAAAGTAGAAGCAGCATTCTCATCGTCATGGCCCATCGCCTGTCTAAACAGTTTATACGATACGTTGCCCAGTGCACGGTTATAACGGTTCTTTATTAATATTTGTTTTGTACCAATAATTTGTAGAAATGTTTCCTATGCACGATCCTGTGTGTATTTTATTGGAAACGCCATTTTCCAGATGGAAAATTGAGGACAAAAAAGATTTTTTAAATTGCGAGAGACCTGTGCCTTCTCTCGATGTGGAAAAAAGGGGGAGGTCAAAAGACAAAGAATATGTTCGGAAGTTTCGGAATAAATGGTATTCGGAGTATAAGTGGTTGTGCGGATGTGTTTATTTAAAAAGACTTTTTTGTATGCCGTGTTTAATTATGAGTGTAAAATCGGGCGTGTGGAATAAGGAGGGATTTAACAATTTTGGAAACGTCACGCGAGGCTGTCATAAGCACGAAGCTTCTTTGGAACATATGCGGTGTGCGTTAATGTTCGCAGAATTAAAAAAAAACCTCTGTACAATCGAAGGCGCTTTGAGGGAAAATTCCAGGCTATATATTAAACAGTTTAACGACAACGTCCTTCGAAATAGACGGTTTATGCAATTACCTATTCGTGCAATTGCTTATTTAGGCAGACAAGAGTTGGCATTTCGAGGCTACAATGAATCGGATTGTTCCGACAATCGTAGCAATTTTAAAGAACTTTTAGATATGTTTATATCGATAAGCCCTGTAGACATTCAAGAGCATTATAAGAAGATGTCTTCTGTTTTTTCTGCTAATTCTAAGACAATTCAAAATGAGTTAATAGATTGCATTTCGGATTATATCGATCAATATGTGGATAAAGAAATCGAAGAATGTAATTATTTTTCGATTCAAGTGGACGACTCGTCGGATATTGCACAAAAGTCCCAATGTAGCATAATAATTAGATATGTCAACAGTATGGGAAAGTTAGTTGAAAGATTTTTGGGCTTTTTCGACGTCAGTTCTGATCGAACAGCTGATGTCCTTTTTAATTTAGTAACAAAACGTATTGAAAAATATGAATATCGTTCAAAATTAGTTGGACAGTGTTTCGATGGNTTTCTGCTAATTCTAAGACAATTCAAAATGAGTTAATAGATTGCATTTCGGATTATATCGATCAATATGTGGATAAAGAAATCGAAGAATGTAATTATTTTTCGATTCAAGTGGACGACTCGTCGGATATTGCACAAAAGTCCCAATGTAGCATAATAATTAGATATGTCAACAGTATGGGAAAGTTAGTTGAAAGATTTTTGGGCTTTTTCGACGTCAGTTCTGATCGAACAGCTGATGCCCTTTTTAATTTAGTAACAAAACGTATTGAAAAATATGAATATCGTTCAAAATTAGTTGGACAGTGTTTCGATGGAGCTAGTGTAATGGCAGGGCAAGTAAATGGTCTCCAATCAAAAATAAAAAATGGGGCTCCACAAGCCGTTTTTGTACATTGTGCAGCACACCATTTAAATTTAGTTCTACAGCAGAGCTGTAATAATATATCAAAGTGCCGTATTTTCTTTGCAAATGTAACTGGTTTTCCCTCATTTTTTCACCATTCTGCAAAGAGAACTCGCATAGCTGATACATTCATCAGAAGAAGAATATCTACCTCCGTTTCAACATGCTGGACATCTAACTCAAATATTGTGAAAGTTATAAATAATGAATGGGATTCTATAAAACAAGTATTCATCGAAATTGTTAACAACATAACTTCCGATCAAATATCAGTTAGGCAAAGTAATGGCTTCTTGAACCTGTTTAATGATTTTGAATTTTCTCTTTTAATTGGCATTTTTAGCGAAATTTTTTCAATTACTGATATTCTTTTTGATGTGTTACAGAAACGCTCACTAAATATTGATTATTATATGTCACAAATTAAAAATACCCAGAAACTTTTAAATGAAAAAAGAAACGAGAGGAATTTTAAAGAAATATTTAGATTAGGAAGCATAAAAGTGCCAGTACCAGTTAATTATAGTGATGAACGAAAAACTTTGACAGCCAACGAAATCTTTGAAAAATATAAAGTTCTGTATTACGAAATTTTGGATACTATCTCTGAACAAATTGATGTACGGTTTCAAGACTTGGATAAAATTCATTTTGTTACATTAATGGATACAACACGATTTGAGGAGTATTCAAAAAACTTCCCCACAGAAGCATTAAATAATTTAAAAAATTATTTCCCTAATATATTCTCTGACTTACCGAGACTGAAAAATGAATTATATTGTATTTATAATGATAAAAAATACCGCAACATTAAGCTAGATCAGATATTGGAAGTGGGGGATATTCTCTACGAGAATAGAGACATTTTAAAGGAAGCCTATAAATTATTTTGCCTGATCGTAACAATTCCCTCTACTAGTGTTTCGGTTGAACGAACTTTTTCTTGTTTAAAAAGAGTTAAAACTTTTCTGATGTGCAATTCCATGACAGAAGACATACTTACAAATTTAGCAAAAATTTCCATTGAAAAAGAACTTTTGAATGAACTTATAAGTGCCGAACCATTTTATGATGACATCATCGATAAATTTGCAGCTTTAAAGGATAGAAGAATACATCTTATATTTAAAAAGTAGACGAACATGGACATGGACTTGAGTAAGTTCCTAAATATTTTTTTTAATATGGCGAATTCGCCGTTTAACATCTGTATCTGTACCTATCATTAGGTTCACAAGCCGAACTAATATTTTTATTTTTTATAAAATCTAAATGAAAATCCTTCTCTCTCTCCAACATTAGTTTTTCGGTAATATTGCAAATGCAACTAAAATTTCCAGATTTATTTAAAGCCATTTGACCTTGAAAATTTTCAACTATGGCACTCTAGTCAATCAATAAATATGCCTCATGCCTCACCTATTCTCAATGTCACGAGCCGCCACTGGTAGCTTTCACAAGTCCCGTTTCACACATTCTGCTTTAATTCTGAGGAAAGGTATTAAATGATTAGGTATTACTAAATAATAATTTTACTTAATAAAGGAATTCGAAGATTAAGGAAAACTGGTAGACTTGAAAATATTTTATGCGACAGTGTCACTGACAAACTGATACTACTGACAGTGATGACAGAGCGTCTTCGTTCATTTTTTTCCTTTACGCAATCATTTACACATAATTTCACTACAAGGTACCCCTTATGACGTCACAGCCATTTTGAAATATAAAAAAATCAGTTTTAAATAATTATTTTAAAACTGTTCTGACGCATTTCTCAATCTCTAACTGTGCATACACACTAGTTAGTACATGTAGAATTATATTATTTACTTTTTGAAATTTGGTCAACAACCCTATTACGCTTCGCCTCGCAAATACGCTCACCACAAAAGTATAGTCTTTCCGCAGTCAGTTGAACATGTAAAAAAAAACGCCTGGCAATAAAATTTAATGACTCGTAGACGTCCATAAAAAAGTTTTTTGCTAAAGGTAAAAAATTATAATAATTTGTATACACCGTGTCCACCTAGTCCAATTGTATCTAGGTTAATAAAATATATAACTTCATTTTTTTTCCTACAGAGTTGCCTACTTTCCCGAGCTGCATAAAATGAAAATATATTTGCATATACAGGATGTTCAGTTTTTCCTGGGCAGGTACCAACTTAATTTTTTTAAATATTTTTCCCGACAAAGGAATGGGCGTAAATCCGGTATTTTACATAAAAATGTTTTTTTTGCAAAAACTACGCATCTTAGGTATAGAGAAAGCTATTAAAAAATTGTACGGCCTACAGAAAGGTATCTAATGAAATCATAAAACACAGGGTGTTCTATCTGAAAAAGTCGAGATTTTTCAAAATTTAAATTATCAGGTTTGGCACGATTTTTTTTGCCCCTTGTATATTGCAGGTCAACTTTTGATACGTTTATTGAATGAGCCATCTTCACTCTACAGTTCCTGAAAAAAAATAATTTCTAGCTGTCATACAATCATAATTATGTCAACTAGTAGAAGTGACGAAACATAAGAAAAAAAAAAAATGAAAAGTCGATTATCTCGAAAACTATCAATATTTTAGTAGGGATCATAACACAAAGTCCCGTTAATTTTTCACGTAGAATTCAATAATGCCATTAAAAATATAGGTTTCCATTTAAAAAAATTAAGTTGGTACCTGCCCAGGAAAACCTGAACACCCTAGATACCTAGATATTGGACTTCTGCGCACTAGGTGGACACCGGTGTATAATGTATAGAAAATTTCTATTATATGTTCATTTGGCCAAAAACATATTTTAATTATTTATGTTCTCAAACAATTTTATTATATTGATGGTAAATTTCGTTTTGTTCCGTTTCAAAAAGTTTCCAATAGTAGTATTATTTCTCCCTTTCGTAATTGTAATATCAATGATTAATAGAAGGTGCCCATAATAAATTAAAATTACCTGAATCACACCAAATTCCGCATTGCTGCACTGTACTACTGGGCAATTTATCAACCACTTGTCAACAGCCGAGATTTATTGCTTAGTGGCCTAATGCAGCTGTGTTTGTATTTCGTTTGCCCGCGCTGGCATTCTTCAACTGGCCGTATACATTTCTACCACCTCCACGTTTAGTTCGTCCAGACCTGTATATGGGTATGGCTAAAACAAGTTTTTCAAATATTTCAATGTCGAGTTGCTGACCGAACCTGGTATATACTGTCAACCTCTTGGTACTTCAGTTGATATCGGAAAGACTATAACATTTTTAATCGTAATATAACAATATACATATTGTTTTTTTATTTTCTTATAAACCATTTTATTTGAGCTATTAGTACCAAATTTGGTATATGTTTTTGGCTATTGATTGAACGTGTTTAAATTTCAGAACTACATACACATTTTTTTTCCAGAGAATTCTTGTAGATAAGGAAGACCTTCCGTCTGCCAGAGTAAAACCAACATCGGGGGATTTATATTGGATTCTAGATAGGGAAGCAGGTGTACATGTAAATACAAAATTATAATCATAATTTTATTTTATATTTTTTATAAATACATTGGTAGTGTAATAAATACCATATTATTAAAATATTAAGTACATCACATCTTTCTTCCATACTTCCAAATATATTTTATATCTATATTTGCCCAACTTCAGCAGTGTTTTTATTTTCAATAAAACATCAAGAATAAATATTTAACTTTTTTTTTACATTATTTAATGCTCTTAAGCAATTTGTTGTTAATCGGAGAAATTCACTCGTTTAAAAAGAGCATGGAGCTAATTAAAGCCTATTTGAATAATTCTGTACAAATAAATAATTAATAACTAAGCAATTGGAAATGCTAGAAATATCGATCGGCTTATGTCACATTGAAAATGTCTCGAGAAATTTTTTAGAATAAATAAATTGGTTCCTAGTTTATTCCGGCATCACGTCATGTTTATCCCCAGCAATCGACTTGAATATTCATAAACGACATAACTGATGCTAACTGCCGGCATTACTTTAATAAAATTCGGAGTTATTCCCCGATACAAGCCTAAAAACCCTTCCTTTTCTATAATTGTCCTAAACACACCTGTCATGGTCACGGTTGCTGGATCCATTGCTGGGTGGATTACTAAAAAGAAATATCGAATTGTAATTCGCAGCACTAGTTAAAATTTTAAGTAAGTACATGATATTTATGTAACTGTTTTACATGTAATTTAAAGATTTTATAAAATAAGAAAAATTACCTTGTGCTTGTAACCTAGTTCTTATTAATGCTAGCGGGTAAGAACACATCTGTCCCATAGTACTACTGGCGCTTCCACATGCCAGAAGCATCCAGAAACTGGGTTGCTCATTACTAGAATGGGTCTTAAAATACTTTTTCTTCAAAGTCTCGTACACAGCCAAGTCTATACCGGCGTATGGAATAATTCCTAAAATATTTGGAATGTAACCCCTGTAAAAGCTCATCAAGCCTTCTCCAACGTAAATTTTATAAGCTGCGTCCGCTATACTCTTGTACTGTCCGGTTTTTCTTAAAGCTAGTCTGGTTTTTAAAACTTCCAAAGGATAAATAGCTGTTTGACTTATTCCACCAGCTAAAGCACCTGCACAGAATCTTTCGTAAATGCTAAGGGTTTCTTTCGAATCGCCTTTTATCAGTCTTTTGATCTGTTCGTAGGCGGCAAACTTCAATGCCGACTCGGGGGCTATTTTTAACACATTTATACCGTTGCCCCTCCAGAGACTTGTAACTCCTCCTTCCTTTAGCATGTAACTAAAACAATCTCCAATTCTCTGCTTTGAAGGTTGTACCTGTAAGAAAATTTCTACACTAATGTATGTTTTACTAATAATGAACAGTCATCAAATGTTTTTGCTCAACAATTATAATTTATTATTGTAACACAATAAATAAGTTAAAAATAAAGATAAAAAAGTCAATTATAATTAATTAATTATAATTGAGATTGGGTAGTATTAATTAATTAAGATATATAAAATATTAAATCGAGAAAACAATTATTTGGCAATATTAATGAATAATTTATTAATGTACACAAAAATGTAAATGTGAGTTTGGGTTGTACTTGTTTTTGACATTATTTCTCTTTTTTTTTTTAAATTTAATTTACATACTTGTTAGCTTACCTGTAGGAACACTTTCAGTCGATCTAAGGGAGCAGTGCAAGTTCTAGAGACTGCTCCTGCTATACCACCGGCAGCTAAATGCCTCCACCACATTCCAGTTTGCATTTCATTTTGTGTAAAATCATCAGGAACATTCATATCCTCCCCAATATCCAGATACTAAAAAAAATATATAAAAATATTAAAAATTATTCAATTTCAACATACGTTAGTTTACTTAAATATACGGGGTGATTCACAAACGGTGACCAAAAATGACACCTGGTATTCTTTGATGAATTTTAAGTCCTAAGTTTTTATCTAGGACGCATCGTTAAAAATATACAGGGTGTTAAACTTTAAAAAATATTTTAAATTTTTTTAAATAATTTAAAAACTAGTAAGTGAAATACTTTGAAATGGGGCACATGTATTTATGTAAACATTATCCAAAAACTGAGGCCTTTTTCTAAAATTTAGATGTTCCAGTGGCGGAGATACAGGGTATCGGTGGCATGTTTTTCTAAATAAAATAGTATGCCACTGCTTTACGGTAACAATAATGGTATTTTACGATTTGTCTTTAAATTCTCTACAAATTACTACTCTACAAGGGCCTCTTCCTAAAAAAAGATTAAATTTCAAAATGAACAGGTTTTTGTTAGATTCTAAAAAAGTCGCGCAAAAATAGCTAAAATTCATTTTTGAAATAATAGTAATTAAAGCCACCATTTTATCTACAATGAAATAATATATTCAACCACTTCCAACTGTTTTTATTTTAATTTAAAATATACAGGGTGTCCCGCATAGGAACCGACACAGGGCAGGTGCATGTAGGGGTGTCCAAAATATTGTAACACTTTACTGCAGAAGAACCAAAGGTACATGATTTAGATTTATTACTGGTCTTCTTTGACTACGATTTAAAGTTAATTGAAGCACTACAAGGTGTTCATTGGGGGATGACTGACCCCTAAAATTGAACCTAACCTTTTTTCATTGACCGAATTGAAAAGTAATATTAATTCACAGCAGAATTTAATTTTAAATATTTTTCTTTACTCTTGTTCAATTTTAAGAAACTTTATGCTTTTCAAGAAAAACCGTATTAATTGAAACAAGATTTTAAGTGTTTATTATAAAATAATAGAAAAGTCGGTAGTAGGCAATGAATTTATCTTTCAAACTTGTCAGTTAGTAATAAAATTATTTTATTTCAACAATTGCCTCGTTGAAAAAATATCAATTTTTATTTTTATTATTTATTTGTGTTTTTTACTTAATACAATATTCGCTTATTTAAAAACTACCTAGGTACTTGTTTTCCTTTTGTAGAATTATTAGAGAAGTGAAGTAAAATTTATTTGTCCAATTGTCAAATTTGAAAGATAAAGCCTACTACTGACTTTTTCATTATTTTCTAATGAACACTGTTAAAATTTTGTGTCAGTTAATACGGGTTTTCCTGAAAACCAGTTTTTAAAATTTAACAAGAAAAAAAAAATTGAAAATTACATTCTGCTGTGAATTAATATTACTACCTATTTATCGGTCACAAAAAAGTTCGGTACAATTTTAAGGGTGAGTCATCCCCAATCAACACCTAGTAGTGCTTCAATTAACTTTAAATCATAATGAAAGAAGACCATTAATAAATCTAAATCATGTACCAAATTTGGTTCTTCTACGGTAAAGTGTTGTAGAGATATTATTATTTTTTTTAATTTAGAGCCCCACTTTGTGGGCTAATAACTCCTCAGGGGTGCAACTTTGTATATGGGTAAGTTTAGTTAAATTATAATATTTTGGACACCCCTACGTGCACCTGCCCTGTGTCGGTTCTTATGCGGGACACCCTGTATATGTTCGTTAATTTTGAACATCCCGTACCTCGAAGACAATACGTATTTGTAACATTGTTGTATTGTAGGCTTTTTTATTAATTTACGAGTACAATCGCCATAAGTTTGGCAAGGCATATTAATTACAAAGCATTTTAGTTTCAGCAGTGCACCTAGAAAAACGTTTGCGTTCTCGGTCTCTGGCTGCTCCACTGCTCTTTATATAATCTTATTATTATTTAAAAATGACCTCTAATAATCGTGTAAGTGTATACAAAAACAAATAGTTTTAATATTTTACAATAAAATATTCATAATTGAGTTATTGAAAATACATCCAGTGCCTATATGAATTACTTTATATTTTTCTAATGAGGCATTTCTTATGAAGTGAGCGAATACGCTTGGCGTTTTCATATCGTTATCGGAATATTTAAATTTCATAGATATATTTTGTATTTTAAGTATTTTTATTTCCATCTTTCCCTCGTGTCGCGATAACATCCACTTGTGGTTTCAATTCAAGCAACACATTTTTGACGATTATATCTACTTTTACAAATGCAATTTGAAAAACGTACCTCCAACATCCAAAAACTGAAACCAGTAACAACATGCCTATTTCTATTCATGTATAAATAAATTGAAGGCATCATTTTGAAAAATTTTAGAGGGTCAACGATCTGTATATAATCTCAGAAAAATATTAATCAAAAAACACAAATCACTATTAACAGCATTATATTTTAGTAACGCACTACACGTAAGGCACATTGGTAAATGACGGGATTTGGAAGACTTGGCGAATTTAAATTTGTTACATCATGTGTAATCGTAAGTTTATCAAATTTAATATCCTTTCACTCTCGCTATGCATGATATATGGACGTAAGCAACAATTCCAGTTTATTCTAATCAATAAGTATGTAATTATGTTATGATCTATGAAGCAAATTCTATTAATTTAAATATGTCTATTCATCTATTCAAACTGATTTGTAAAGAATCCATACAAATTTATCTATAGTTGGACGGTAGCCGTCCAACTATAAAATAATGCGTAGGTATTTCAAAATTGAGATAAAAAAATAAAGAGCGCAATCTGAATAAAAAATGTGAGTGAAAGTGCGACATCCTTCAAACATTTGAAGTCTATTACGTTACTCCATATTCCACATACATACAAGCTTTACTTTACTGTCGCCATCTGAATCATAATGTGACGTCAGTAACCAACACGTGAAACATATCTGTGACGTAATATTGAAAATTTATAATTACGGGCATACAAGCAAAACGACAACCAAATAATCATCGACTACAATGTCTGTCTATTTCGTTAGTCCCATACATTTATTTACTAAATTATGTAACATCTTAATTATTTTCAGTAGGTTGCAGTGCAGACAGGTGTGTTAAAATAGATGCAACAGTAAGAGAATCTAAGGGTATTCCGTAACTTATAAATACCACAAGATATATCAATTTCATGTAAATATGTACTATTTCAAATTATAAGCTGTAGGTATAGGTGATGAAACTAACTATAAAATTAACAATTTTACGACTTCTTTTAAGCGGTAAGTACTTGTAAATTTCAATAGTGTAAGTAGGTACCTACTATGGTTATTACTTTAAATATTAATAATGTTAATTATTAATGTGTTTATTCACCTTAACAATTAATTTTATATTTTAACTATTATATGCATTTCAGAAGTGGAGGATAAATTGGAGAAAGGTTTGATAATTAACATGTATCATTCATAACCTAACAAAATACCTTAGCAAGATCCCTGAAGATGTAAACGAAATCTTCCAGAACATCTGGAATGGGATTGGGTGATACGTCTTCAAACGACATTTTGGCGGTAATTTCAGTCTTTTTGATATAAAAATCAGGTACTTTAAATCACTTTTAATTTAACTATCACAATAGAGATTCACTTTGGCAATTACACTACACCCGGCTCTTGTAGCACAGCTGATTCTGACTTGTTACCTAGGTAGACAGTAACGATTATAGTCACTCTTCTATTACCCGCTGCGTTAACAAGTGACGAAAGCAGAGCCGAGGCCGATGCCGGGAAGCCCAGTTCGCTTTTGGGTCTGGTGGGGGGAAATTGGTATTTGAGGATTCTACTCCCGACCAAAGTACAACGAGACGAGCCCACGGAAATAAGTCCTTTTCTTATCAGTAAACAGGACCGGCTCTAGGTGAAAAATCAAAGAACAGTTACATGGGCAATACAAAAATGAAGGAAAGGACAATTTACCGAATCAAATGTCGCCTGCAGATGTAAAATGTGATCCATATTTTAAATAATACAATAATAAATATCTACAATTCTGGTTCAAGGATAGGTTTTCCCAATTACTTCTGTTATATTTTTAATGAGTTATACTCGTACATAAAATGGGTAGTTCTGTATCTTTCTGGAACAGTTCGCTGCTAATATCAACACAAGTGTATGGTCTTATGGGAAGCACAAATACGTAATACCATGCATTCGTACCGCGTCAGTTATTATCTTGCCTACAAATTAGCAATTTATTTATTATTAACTTCTCCGACTAGTCTCATTCTGCAGACATTTATGAATTCAAACTAAGGGTGCCAAGTTTGCTATTATATAATTAAACTATTTATTTTCTTAATTTACTTTTAATTTTCGATAGATTAGGAACATTTTCATTATTATGTACATTTTTTTATATCAAAAGTGTACAAATTTCATACCCAAGGTTCCCAATATCAGAAACATGTAAATAAATGTAAATATTTTCACATAAGTGAAAAAAAAAATTGAGATTTTAAAATAACATTTTTTTATATCAAGTAGAAAATTATATTGTTCTTTGTTGTGCAGCGTAAAATCCTTAGAGTCGATCCTGTCGGTAAGAGCAAAGGTACCGATTTCGAGGCAGACTAAAATGTGTTTGTGTAACCCAGGATTATCTTTAACAATGCCTAGTTGCCTCGAAAATTTGTCTTTGTTTGTTGCATCATTCCATCAGTATTATCAATGATATCAAAATGATAACATTTCTAGAAATTAATTTATGAGTGAAAGATATAAAATAAGTGGTGGTTCCTATGTTATACTGATTAATGATTACAATTTTATATAAATAGTGTTGCGATATTTCGCTGACAAAACTGTACAAAGATTTTCTAACAAAAAATATTAAAAAAGGTTTATAAATACTTAATACTTTAGGTTCAGGGTAAATAACTTCTTTAGTTATAATTTATTCAAATTCGATATATCCAACACTCTTTTTAAGATCGACGAAATGTTGTTACTGTTTAAAATTGGGTAATATTTATTTTTT